CCTGCTAAATCTTGCCAATTTGGGAAAAAGCAACTTTAAAATGTTCATTAGCTGTTGAGAAATGTGATAAAAATGCTGTAACCATTGGGGCTAACCCCCCTTGATGCATTGTTTTCATTCTCATTAGCTGAGCTTGGCTGCTGCTGAGGATTATTTTTCTCCACTAACTGATCAGGGAAACAGGCTTCAGAATGTAACTCTCCTCTTCACATTGACTGAACGTTGGTGGGAACCAAAGCTTCTTTGGGTTCCTGTTGCTTTTCTATCTGGAACAACCAGTCAAGCCAATCTTCACTGACCTCTGGCCTCAATAAGGCATTTCTACTGAGAACAGCAGCTAACTGGCTGATTCTCTCTTCCTCCCACCATTTTCTAAAAACCTAGAGATCGATGTGGATGAAAACCCCAGCAGATTTTTGAAGCACTAAGACCAACAACCATGCCTCGTAAAGCCACTAAAATCACCTTTCCAAGTCTGGGCTCATCCAGAGGCCTATTTCAAGAAGTTGAATTCAGATCCAGGATGAGATAAAGCCAGGCTTGATCTAGCCTGATCAGTGCATCCTGGCTTTATCCGTTTCACTCTGACCAAGCCAGGCTCCACAGGTGGGATTATGGCAGATTCACTGATTTAGCAAACAGTGGATCAACTAAATGCCTAAATAGTCTAAGATACAGATTTCCTAACCACTTCTCTTCACTGAAAACATCATAATTGAAGAAGTTACTTCTCATTTTTCTCAACGACAGATAGCACAGTAACAGAATGACGCCATGGGGCAGAGTTTAGTGGAGCAATGCAGGTGGAGGAGGAGATGAGAAGGTTTGAAGTGGAGGAGAAAGAAGATTCTTGGCTGTTATCAGCAATAGCTCAGGAAGCTGGAAAACCAGCGAACGGCGGTGGTTTGTAAGAGCGCTGAATAAATCCAGAGATCAACAGGAAGATAGTGTTTCAGTTTGACAGATGCGTGAGCTGGACGACCAAACACATTTTCCAGATTTCAGGATGTCAGCCACTGAGGACCTTTCACTGCCTCCTGTCATGGATGTGTCTGAAAGAGGGAAGACTAGCCATGTGGTTCACAGACAACAAACTCTACCAGAGAGAATTCAAGTGTTTGAAGGAAAGATCATGAATGATAATGTGACCTTTAATGCTATTCTTCCTGATGGGAAATTGGAAAAGGCTGTAGAGGATGGTGGTGTTCTAAGAGATGTGCTGTCAGAGTTTGGGATGACCTTTATGAGCAGTGCATCATGGGAAATGACTTTAAAGGTCCAAACCTGTGACATAACTTTGGAAAAGAAGAAAGGGAAAGTGTAGGGCCAATCATTGCTTCGGGGTGGAAAAAGAAAAGCTCTGAGCAGAAAACTTTCAGCTGAGCTTCTTGAACAAGCTGCTCTTGGTGTCACTGAAAGTGATACATTAAATAGTTTGTTTTTCACACTCAAGAGTGAACGACTGTCTAACAGTGAATGAGGTTGCATTTCAGAGTCTGAAAGTCTTGACAAAGATATTACAATTTCTTGATTTGCATATTTGTCGTAGGCCTCAGACAGCAGAAACACAGCAGATCTTAAAAGAGCTGCTCACCAAAAACTTCCCCAAGAGTCAGCCTTTGTTATTGAGGAGTGGAGTAATTTGTTTGCACTAAATCAGCCAGAGCTGACAGGAACTTCAGCTGCCTTTGATGCACTGCAACCAACTAAACCTAAAATAATCCAGTTAGTCACTTTCCATAGTGACCCAAATGCCCTTAAAAACTAATCAGGAAGTAGCTAACTGCAGATCTTAGAGTGATTCTGTCCATCTTTCCAGTTTTCTCAGGTTTTCTCCAGGATCAGATCTGTTTCCAGGGAAAAACATCACTGTGTCCTTCACACAGGTTCAGGGCTTCCAAAGAAGACCTATTGTTCACACATGTGGGGGTTTCTTAGAGCTGACAGTCATTAATGAAAGCTACCCTGATTTCTGACATGAAATGAACAAAGTTTTAGAGCAACATCTGGATTATGGATATTGCTTAGTTCGATCCCAAAGTAAACAACATTATTCTGTTTGTATAGATCTAAACACTAGCATTAGTATTAGTAAGTATTAAATCCAGATTACTTCTGCAGGTTGGAACATTTTTTTCTAATGAATGTTTCTATAGCTGATGTTTTATGATGTTGTGGCTTTAACCAGTTTATAGCTACTTTTGCACAAGTCTGATGAAAGCATTTGATAAACCTCAATCTAAATAATTATTCAAATCAACAAACACCAATTTCTGAAGTTACTGCTGTAGTTTTTTCAAACAATGCAGCTAAAAATGCAGAGTTCTTCTGCTTTTAAAGATGTTTTCCCAACTATACCAAAGACAAATAAAGTAAGTACATGGATTCAGAAAGTGTTTTCCGTTCAGCTTTTTAATCAATATGTTTTCTAAATTAGACATGCATTTTCAGGCTGTGAAGGAACAAAACACTTTGCAGCAAAGTGCTGAACATTGTTACAGGTTATAGAAAAATTAGCTTAAATGGTTCAAGAAGTATTTTTCTGAAGTTTTCTTTCTTATTTGCAGTTTTTTTAGATCCATTTAATAGGATCCATCCATCCTGGACAGGTCGTCCATCGCAGGGCAATACAGAGACACAACCATGCACACACACACACTCACACCTAAGGGCAACTTAGAAACAGCAAACAGCCTAACAGTCATTAGTTGGACTGTGGGAGGAAGCTGGAGTACCCTGAGAGAACCATGCAGGCACATTCAAACTTCAACACTTTAACATGGAATAATGAGCAATTTCTGAGCTTCACACCAGACTGGAAACTAGACGATTGTCCAGATGATCACTGATCCAGACCAGCTGCTACCCTCCAGGACCAGGATAGTAACTAGTAGAGGAACATATTGGATGAAATATTCTATCTTTGCTGTCTTTAAACTGGTTCAGAATAATTAACAGTGGAAAACAACATGAAATATCAGAGCATTTTGAATTAGACACTACAATGGTTTTTGAGTCATTAAAACATTGGAAGTGAGAAAACCAACATTTCCAAGCTCAGCTCTAACATCTTTGCTTACAAACGGTCTCCTAAACAGAATCCCTGTCCAAGGACCAATGTCCTTGATCGCTCCACACCTGCTTTAGCTAACCTGCTAACAATGAGCCACAGTGGTGGTTCATCAGCAGGAACAACAAAGATTTTCAGCAGGATCTAAAGGTTTTAGCAGGTGAACATGGAGACAGAATGAATGGTGAAAAATAGAGGAAACACCCAAAGAAAAAAGATCTCAGCATCTGAAACTGCTGCAGCTCTCAGAGAATCAGAAAGACAGAGCAGCTTTTCAGATCTGATCCAGGAAGTTTAGTGGGAATATTAAATCAAAGAGAGAGAACTTTCTGAGGTTTACAACAATATCCGCTTAACTTAACATTAAAGTTCAATAAAAGTTTGTTCAAACTTGCAAGAGCCAATTTGAGACAAATTCATTTATAGTTTTAAAAAGGGTTAAAATACAAGATTGATCATTTTGTGTGTTGTAAAGATTATAATTTAAGTTTAAAAACTCTAATATCAAAAGCATAAAATATAGAAATGCAATTTGAAATGCATATTTTTGGGCTTCCTGCATACTGTAATTGTATACATGTTTTATTTGTTTGCTTCTACATACTGTACGTAAGGACTGTGTTGGGATCCGGAGGTTTGCCCGCCAGAGGGTGCCGAGGATTCCTTCCTGGGGGCTTCTGCTGTCTGTTGGGATCCAGAGGCCTACCCACCAGAGGGCGCCAAGGATCCGATCCTGAGGGCTTGTGCTCACCTGCAACACCTGTCTTTCATCTCCTCATCAGCCTTGGGCCTACTTAAGGAGGAGGAGACTAACACTCCAACGCCAGAGTGTTTGCCAGTAACGGTTAGCAAAACCTGAGCCAACCTGCCTGTCTAAGTCTTCTGACTTTTGTGATCTGAACCTGATCCTGTTTTCTCCTATCTGCCTCACAGGTTGAACCTGCCTGTTAACCTGAAACTCTGGAGAGTTTCTCTGCCGGTGATCTGTCTGTCTGCTCTCTGTTGAACTCTGGAGGGCTTCCTCTGTCAGCATCTGCCTGCCCGCCCTCAGAGGAAAATTAGGAGAGAGACTCTGTCTGTGATCTGCCTGCAAGCACTCAGTAAGCCCTGCACTCTGACCGTCTCAACCCAGCTCTCAGGAGAGAGAGAGAGAGAGCAAAACCTGGAGTCTCCCAGCCTGCACTCAGACTGTCTCAGCCCAGCTCTCTAGAGAGAGAGCTCATCAGGAATCAGCCTACCTGCACTCAGACTGCGTCTGCCCAGCTCTCAGCTCTCCTTCTGCCTGCACTGTGTTCCCAACCTGGAACCTGCCCGCCAGCACTCAGGCTGCCTCTGCCCAGCTCTCAGCTCTCCACCTTCCTGCACTCTGTTCTCAACCTGGAACCTGCCTGCCAGCACTCAGACCGCCTCTGCCAAGTTCTCAGTTCTCCTCCTGCCTGCACTCAGCTCTGCTAGCCCTCAGCCCTCGGCCTGTCAACTGCCTCTGGATCCACAAGGTTCCCCCCTATCTGCAGCTCTGCTCCTCTCCAGATCAGCGGTGAACCTATTCCTGACCAGTCTCCCTAACCTTGGACCTGTCCTCATTAATACACATCTTTGTAAATAAACTTTTGAACTTTTTCCCTGCCTCCGAATTGTTCTGCATATGAGCTAGATTCCATAACCCAACATGATAGACTGAGGGAAAACAGATATGTTGGAAGCAACACAGTTTTTGACTAAGTTTATGTTACACAAATGTAAATGTTTTCTTATGTTTGTTTTCTTTTAATAAACATTACAAGTTGAAGAACATTATCTGGAATTGCTCGCATTTCAATACTTGTTGCCAGACTGTTTATCCATGTGGTACAGAAGAAACTAAAGGAGCTGGAGTGCCGCTGCAAAAACTGTTCAGGATTCTTTTTTAAATTCATCTTTTCACATGATATAGATAATTTTATTCTCAATTTTAATTTTGATGGAAAAATATCAACATGATATTATGGAGACGATGAAAACAAAGAGAAAAAAGGAGTGAAAACAAACAAATCTCTAAACTCAGAGTTCATCATCAGGATCCAATCAGTCTCTTTAAACTCAAACTGCTGCAGCTTCAACCTCTGAGGATCATCAGGTCACAGATCAGCTTCTCTCCTCCACTAAGATCATCACCTCCACCACCTGCAGAGAGAAGAAGGATGAAGAGAGGAGAACAGTGAGTGTTTCCAGCCTCTCTCTCTCCATCAGCTGTCAGTCAGTGATGCAGCACATCCAGGATAAAGAGCAGCAGGGACTTCAGTCCTGTTCAGAACAGCTGTGGAGCAGATCCAGCTTCCTTTCAGCTCTCATCTTAACGTGTTGGAGTGAACACACTGAGCTCCAAGCTCACACAGCGCAACACATTTTAGCATCCAGTCTGGTTCTCTGCAGGTTTCCCTCCAGTCCACAGTGGAAACCACCTGCTGAGAGTCCTGAAGGCTTCATTGCTGCACAAACACTGTAGTGATGGATTTACTGCTGCTACATGTTAGCTGCTGCTCCATTTAGACACAGAAACTCTGGCTGCTGATCAACATATCATCTGTTTCTGAAATATCAGCTGACTAATAAACATGGAGGCTGTCCCTGAACACATCTGGATGAGACTAATGACAGAAGGACACATGTCCAGATGTGCTGAGTGGACTTCAGCAGAGCTTCTGCTCTGTAGAAAGACCACATGGTGACTAAATGGAATGATGGTTTGTGAAATCAGAGCCACTGATTTCCAGGCTGCATTCAGACTGATCTCAGAGCTGTGGCTAAGATGAAACTGATCAGTTGTTTCCTGTTGAAATGAGAGAACAAAGAGTCTGAGATCAGATCTGATGCTCCCACAGTTTAATGGATGACGACCACTGTCTCTAGACATGTTTGAAGGCTGGCATCTGGAATCCAGCTTCATTTCCTGGAGACATGAACACAGCAACAACAGTCGTCTTCACATCAACACAAGCACAGGAACACAACCACCTTCTGGCTCCTCTGACTAGCTGATTGGTGTCTCTGTGTCCAATCAGGATGCCTGTCACTGTTGACAGTGTACTGAGGACAGCATGTCAATTTGATCTATAAAATGAATGCTTCTTCTCCCGTCCTGGGGCAATCAGATGATCGACTGAAGGTGTCCTGATTTTTGAGATTCTACCATTGAAAGCCACCACATCACCATTCTCCTTCCACTGAGAAGCTGCAGCTTTACTGGAAACACTGGATCTTTGCTTTGTTACTAACTGTGTTTAGAACAATCCTGCTGACAGCAGGTGGACTCACTCCAACCATCTACTTACAGAGTCTGCAGTTTGTAGTCTGGACTCTCTACAAGATCCTGCAGCTGCTGAACATCTGACTTCTTTAGGATGTTGAACCTCAGGTCCAGTTGTATCAGATGGTAGGGGTTTGACTTCAGAGCGGAGACCAGAGAAGCACAGCTGATCTCTGACAAACCACAGGAATACAACCTGGATAAAGAATAGAAAGATGTGAGCTGATCCCACAGTAGGCAGTTTAGAACAGTCCAACAGAAGCAGTTAAAGAGCTCTCATTGATATTAATGCCAACATGCTGCTGCTCCAATAAAGACCTGCTGACTTCAGCTCTTCATCTCTGTCAGCTCCACCAGCAGCTCCATTAATACAAACTCAGCTTCTGCTGCCAAATTCTTCAAGTTTCAAAGAAAAAAAAAAAACAAATTCGGGAGAACTTTGGAGGAAAGATGAGCAAATAGGGATGAATGCAGATCAATTCAACTGGATGATCAATTATTCCACAGTAGGGCTGCACAATACTGGAAACCCCGACATTAGGATTTTTTTCTAACTCTGCATCACATAAAGTGTGAAATGAAAAAAAGTGAAGCTACCATCCTGTTGATGATCAACCTGCACTAATCGTACCTCTTTGTATCTTCCATGTTTTTGTCTGTATTTCAGAATTCTTCTTTTTCTTTTCTATTGCTTTTATTGGAGCTCAGTAGCGGCCCATGCCTAGGTGGATCTCTGCACACAGTGTGTGTCAGCTACCCTTTGTTCAGCCCTAGGCCTTGGGATCCTCAACCTGACTCCGCCAGATGGATTTGCTCCGCATATCCATCCGGAAACCTTCCGTTGAAGTAATTTTGGGAAGGGGCGAAAATACTGGTTAGCTGATTGGCTTATGTTAGTGATAGACGGGCCAAATAAACCAATCAGATCAACAAAGCATATGACGTACTGATGGACGCCGTGCTGCTGGACATCACCATCATCTTCATCATCATCAACACCTTCATCATCACCTTCATCATCATCATCAATATCACCATCTTCACCATCATAATCACAAACATCATCATCATCACCACCACCTTCATCTTCATCATCATCATGTATTGCCTTCCATTGATTTTCAGTCATTTTAACCCTTTCTATGGCCTGACCCTGACATTAACCCTAAAGCTGTCAGCAGTTAAGAGTCAACACAATTTTACCATCAGAAATATCAGCACTAAATTAAAATATGGTGACTGACCTCAATGTTTGCAGTTTGCAGAGGGGAGACTGGAGAAAACCACAGAGCTGCTTCACTCCACTATCTTTCAGGTCGTTGATGTTCAGGTCCAGTTCTGTCAGATGGGAGGGGTTGGACTTCAGAGCTGAGACCAGAGAAGCACAGCTGATCTCTGACAATCTGCAGCACCACAATCTGAATGAAGAATAAATGTGTTGAAGCAACTGCAGACGAAAAAATAATGAATTAAATATAGAAAATTTGTTTGACTGAAAGCTAAAGTCCCAGAAAAATGATCAAGGTAAAGTAGTAAACCAAGCAGAACTTATGAAGTGTGAAGGTCCAGATCAAGGTGTGTTTATTACTTTGTTAGTTAACTTGACAAGTTAAATGACATGAGTCATTCAATATTCATTCTAACCAATAAATGATTATTATTTATTCATTGCTAACCCACCTCAGCTATTGCTGGGCCTTAAAAATGTATGTTGAAAAAGTGTTTTAATCATTTATCCTTAAACGCTGATTAAATCAACATATATCTGAGTATTGATTTATTGATTAGTGGTTAAATTATTTATTGTTGCATAGAAGCATATAGAAGCATTTCATTTATTCTTTTACTGAGATGACTGGTAGTAAATCCAACCAAACCAAAATTAAAAAAGCAAAAATACACTTGCTTTCTCACTGTTTATTTAAGAAAAAGGAAAAAAAAAACAGATAATGAACCGTTTTCCGTTATCTGAGTTTTTGCACAGAATCGAAAATGAAAAAACAAATAATGCTGATTACGGATTGTTCATTATCCTTTTCAAATTTTTTGATTTCAACCAAGTTGAATGACCCGGATATGATCTGGGTCACGTAAAGTTTGCTTTGAGATGCCGCAGGCAGCTCGGTAAAAGACTATAGTTTAACGGCTCTAATGGAAGATCACTGTATATAATTGAAACGCTGTTTGATGAGGGTAAAAGCCATGCTGCACTGCAGCAGTTAGGTGTTCAGAAATGCTCATACAGTCATGGTTTAAAAGTATTGAGAATGACAAAAATATTGTATTTTCACATGATCTGCTGCCCTCAGGTTTTCATGTGTGTACGTCAGATGTTGTCATCACATACAGAAATACAATTGAAATCATATCATGAGTAACAAAAGCTTTTAATGACAGAATGAGTTAATGCAGCAAGTCAATATTTGCAGTGTTGACCCCTCTTTTTCAGGACCTCTGAAATTCTCCCTGGCATGCTCTCGATCAATTTCTGGATCAATTCCTGACTGATAGCAGTCCATTGTTGCACAATCAATGCTTGCATTTTGTCAGAACTTCTAGGTTTTCGTTTGTCCACCCGTGTCTTGATGATTGACCACAAGTTTTCAATGAGATTAGGATCAGGGGAGTTTCTGGGCCATGGACCCAAAATCTCTATGTTTTGTTCCCTGAGCCAGTTAGATATCACCTTTGCTTTATGGCAAGGTGCTCCATCATGCTGGAAAATGCATTGGTCATCACCAAACTGCTCTTGGATGGTTGGGAGAAGTTGCTCTCTGAGAACATTCTGGTACCATTCTTTATTCATGGCTGTGTTTTTAGGTAAGACTGTGAGAGAGCCGACTCCCTTGGCTGAGAAGTAACCCCACACATGAATGGTTTCAGGATGCTTTACAGTTGGCATGAGACAAGACTGGTGGTAGCGCTCACCTCATCTTCTCCGAACAAGCTGTTGTCCCAAGCATTCGGAAAGGGGATTGATCAGAGAAAAGGACTTTCCCCCAGTACTCAGCAGTCCACTCCCTGTACCTATTGCAGAATATCAGTCTGTCCCTGATATTTTTCCTGGAGAGAAGTGGCTTCTTTGCTGCCCTCTTTGAGACCAGGCCTTGCTCCAAGAGTCTCTGCCTCACAGTGCATGCAGATGCACTCTAACCTGCCTGCTCCCCTTCCTGAGCAAGCTGTGCACTGCTAGTAGCCCAATGCCCCAGCTGAAACACTTTTAAGAGATGGCCCTGGTGCTTCCTGGTCTTTCTTGGGCACCCTGTAGCCTTTTCGGCAACAATGGAGCCTCTCTCCTTGAAGTTCTTGATGATGCGATAGATTGTTGACTATGGTGTTATCTCTCTAACTGCAATTCTCTTTCCTGTTAGCCCATTTTTGTGCAGTTCAATGATGACTGCACGTGTTTCTTTGAGATAGCCATGGTTCACAGAAGAGAAACAATGATGCCAAGCACCAGCCTCTTTTTAAAGTGTCCAGTGGTGTCCTTCTTACTTAATCGTGACAGATTGATCTCCAGCCCTGTCCTCATCACCACCCAGACCTGTGTTAATGAAGCAATCACTGAAACCATGTTAGCTGGTCCTTTTAAGACAGGGCTGCAATGACGTTGAAATGTGTTTTGGGGGATAAAGTTCATTTTCTAGGCAAATATTGACTTTGTAATTAATTGCTGTTATGCTAATCACTCTTTATAACATCTGGAGTATATGCAAAATACCATTATAAAAACTGAAGCAGTAGACATTGTAAATATTAACATTTTAATCATTCTCAAAACTTTTGGCCATGACTGTAGATATCAGAAAACTGCTCTCATCAACAACTAATGAGAAAAAGTAATGTGATCCTATCATTAATAGACAAGGTAAGTGTTTATATTTGTAAAACCTTTGACTATTGAATAAATATTCACTAACAATGTTAGACAATAACAGTTAAAGTTTGTTTACTTTCGGTACTCAAAAAAGAACTTCACATATTAAAATTAAAAATATTTAAATAAAATGACAGATCTGCAGTGCTAGGTTACATGACTTTGATTATGTAATTTAAGAAGTTACATTATGACTTTATATATGTATATAAATGTGTTGTATGTGTGTTGGTATGAATGAGAACATTAACACAAATAATTACCTGTCTTTGAATCTAAACACCTGTCAGAGGTCCATAAAGAAACTGCGTATTTAACAGATGACAACAACCTGGCCATATTTTCCCGATCGGGCAGTGATCGGACGCACAAACAGCACAGCCACAAGTTCAAGTAGCACCACAACAAAAACCTTTGTGAGGTGATGAAAGAAAACTTACTTATTGCTAAAACACACTTTTCCTTTCTAATATTACCTTTGTGGTGCATTATCTGCAGAAGTATTCTGTGTGCTGCAATCCCCTGCATATTAACCATCTCTCAATGATGTACTTACAACTTGCCAGCAAAATTCAGCTTCTTTATCCTTCTTTCATTCTACATAATTTTTCTCAGCTGGAGTGAGAACCAGTGTTTTTTCATACAGTCCAATATTAACATTTTTGTTGTTATAAATTCTGAAAAATTGAGATTGTGATTCAGCATCTAATGTTTAAGCATAAAGCATTTTTTCCTGTACTTCCACATTAAAATTTAAAAAGGCATTCAGTAAAAGTTTTTGACCTGATGCTTTTTGAATAAATATCAGTTCTTCAGAAAATTCAGAGCAGTTACAACAAGTAAATGTGGTTTTATGATTGTTACACTTATTTTACTTGTTATGTACTTTTGATACCAAAACATGCAGTTTTTGCATTAGTATCCATTCAGCAGTTACATTTATCCAACATGTCTTTCATTAACACTTGATACTATTCTAGATTTAACTATATTAAAAGAAAAGAGAAAAAAGTATTTTATAAAATGCTATTACATTACTGTAATACACATTATGTAAAACAATTTCTGCATCAAAATTTACTATGATGATTCTCTGAATATACAATCTTCCCCCTGTGTTGTAATACACACCCTGTAGTCATTGTTAACAACTTCTGTTCATACATGCATAATGCTTCAGCAACATTAAGCAATTGCTTAATGTTGCTGTTCAAAAAGATTGGTTTACTGTTTGACATCAAATTTAATATGATGGATAGTGTTTTCCAGCACCAACAATGTTTAAATTCACCTTGACATTGCTTTAGGTGAGGAATTCAGTTAAATGCAGAGCTATTTGCAGAGAGATTTAACTATACATCCAACCATTATCGGACATGCTCATCTGCAAGCGGGGTGGGGTCACGAGGGGTACTGGTGCCTATCTCCAGCAGTCAATGGGCGAGAAGTGGGGTACACCCCGGACAGGTTGCCATTCCATCACAGAGCAACACAGAGACAAACAGGACAAACAACCACTCATGCACACACTAACACCTAAAGACAATTTAGAGAAGCCAATTCACCTAACAGTCATGTTTTTGGACTGTGGGAGGAAGCTGAAGCACGCGGAGAGAACCCACGCATGCTCAGGGAGAACATGCAAAATCCAAGTAGAAAGACCACAGGCTGGGAATCGAACTCAGAACCTTCTTGCTGCAAGGCAGCAGTGCTACCCAATGCACCACTGAGCAGCCAGCTATGTAACAAACTTCTATTAAAAGATCTAAATATTAATAGAAAGTTCTGGTTCAGTCCACCTTTCCCTTCATGTAAAACAGCACTAGCAGAGTTTAGTGAACTAATTCAATATGTTTCAGTGTAATTTGTAAAGGTCTTAGTAAAAAACACTTTAATGCTCACTAAGTTCTAGTCATAAACATTCTGCGGAAATTCAGTTATAAATCAAGGCTTTAAGTGTGTCCTGGACTGATGTTCAGACCTGAGAATTTCCAGTTTGCAGTTTGGACTCTTCAGTCCAGAAGACAGCAGCTCCACTCCAGAATCCTGCAGGTTGTTGAAACTCAGATTCATCTCTCTCAGATTAGAGGAGTGGGAGCTGAGAATTGAGGCCAGAACTCCACAGCTTCTCACTGAGAGGTTACAGTTATTCAGTCTGCAAAGACAGATGAAAATGATGAAAAATTAACTTTTTCAGCAGCTCTTGAAGCTCAAAACAAAGCTATGCATATCAAACCCCCCTAAAAACAACATTGAGCTTAAACACATTTCTATCTCTGTAACTTGGCTAAACTCTGAATGATGGTTTGATCTGGACTGACTGAGCTGCAAACATGACCTAATGTTGCTTTTGGAAAAATAACCTGCAGATTTTCCCTGATAGTGGAAAATGGTTTCATTCCCAGTAGGTAGATACGTTTCTCAAGTTATTTAGTTATAATAAATGATGAATCGTAGGAAATGTAGAGAGCATAGAACCAACAGTAGATTTAATTTGCCATGAATCAAACAGGAACAAGAAGGAAAAGTCAATGCCTTGCTAGATTTATAGAAAAGCCCTTGAAAATGATCAATAATGGTGAAGTTTTACATCAGACTTTACTGATTTATGGGAACAGAAAAGTTTTTAAAAGCCTTTTGGAGTCGTTTGATATTTAGACAGCCTAGTCTCCAGCTGTAACCACTGATGTAAAAATCTCTCATCAAAAGAGATTTTAAATACCTCGGGATTGGGAATATTATATATGTAACAATTACCGAATAATATAGAAAAATAATAAATGCAATAACTTATTTGATTAGTTTGACTGCAGCAGACACAAGAAATAAAAACTAAACTTACATTTGATTAGCATCTGACACAGTACTGGAATACAATCCAGGTTTTAGGATTTATTAGAGAAACAGATCAACACTTGTTTCAGGTTTGCAGGAAGAGGAGGATGAAATGCTGTTAGTATTACAAAGGATTCAGATTTAATCAAACTACTGGGTTAATTAACAAGCTCACAGTCAGAACTACTGTACACAGTTAGTTTCAGAACCCTGCTGGGAGAAGAAAAAAAATGACAAAACCACACTGGATCTAACTTGATACTATTCTAGATTTAACTATATTAAAAGAAAAGAGAAAAAAGTATTTTATGAAATTCTATTACATTACTGGGGTATATAAAACAATTTCTGCATCAAAATTTACTATGATGATTCTCTGATCTACAGATGCCCTGCAATGCAGATCGTTGCTTTTGTAATCCAAGAGACCCTGGAACAAACTACAGGCATTTACTAAGAGCTCTATTATTCGAATAAATGTTCAAATAGCTGGTTCCTGAATACACAATCTTCCCCCTGTGTTGTAATACACACCCTGTAGTCATTGTTAACAACTTCTGTTCATACATGCATGATGCTTCAGCAACATTAAGCAATTGCTCTGATGGAATTCAAACAAATTGGTTTACAGTTTGACATAAAATTTAATATGATGAATAGTGTTTAGACTGATTGGATCTTATAGGTAGTTAATTGGATCCCAGCAGATTTTTTTCCAGTATCAACAATGTTTATATTCATCTTGACATTGCTTTAGGTGAGGAATTCAGTTAAATGCAGAGCTATATCACTATCCATCCATCCATTATCGGACATGCTTGTCTGCAAGTGGGGTGGAGTCACGAGGGGTGCCAGTGCCTATCTCCAGCAGTCAATGGGCGAGAGGTGGGGTACACCCTTGACAAGTCGCCAGTCCATCGCTGGGCAACACAGAGACAAACAGAACAAACGACCATTCACGCACACACTAACACCTAAGGGCAATTTAGAGAAGCCAATTAACCTAACAGTCATGGGAGGAAGCTGGAGTACATGGCAAAAGCCATGTAGAAAGAGCCTGGGCTGGGAATCGAACTAAGAACCTTCTTGCTGCAAGGCAGCGCTACCCACTGCGCCACTGAGCAGCCAGCTATGTAACTACCACCTTTCCCTTCATGTAAAACAGCACTAGCAGAGTTTAGTGAACTAATTCAATATGTTTCAGTGTAACTTGTAAAGGTCTTATTAAAAAACACTTTAATGCTCACTAAGTTCATGTCATAAACATTCTGCAGAAATTCAGTTATAAATCAAGGCTTTAAGTGTGTCCTGGACTGATGTTCAGACCTGAGAATTTCCAGTTTGCAGTTTGGACTCTTCAGTCCAGAAGACAGCAGCTCCACTCCAGAATCCTGCAGGTTGTTGAAACTCAGATTCATCTCTCTCAGATTAGAGGAGTGGGAGCTGAGAACTGAGGCCAGAACTCCAAAGCTTCTCACTGAGAGTTTACAGTCATTCAGTCTGCAAAGATAGAGATGAAAACGATGAAAAATTAACTTTTTCAGCAGCTTTTAAAGCTCAAACCAAAGCCATGCCTGCCAAACCATTCTAAAAACAACATTGAGGCTAAACACATTTCTATCTCTGTAACTTGGCTTAACTCTAAATTATGGTTTGATCTGGACTGACTGAGCTGCAAATATGACCTAATGTTGCTTTTGGAAAAATAACCTGCAGATTTTCCCTATTAGTGGAAAATGGTTTCACTCAGTAGGTAGATACGTTTTTCAAGTTATTTAGTTATAAGAAAAGAGGAATCATAGGAAACGTAGATAGCATAGAACCAACACTAGATTTAATTTGCCATGAATCAAGCAGGAACAAGCAGGAAAAGTCAATGCCTTGCTAAATTTATAGAAAAGCCCTTGAAAATGATCAATAATTATGAAGTTTTACATCAGACTTTACTGATTTATGGGATCAGAAAAGTTTTTAAAAGCCTTTTGGATTCGTTTGATATTTAGACAGCCTTGTTGTGGATTTAGCTGAAACATCCCATCTTGCTGGAAAAAGCAACTGGAGATTCGACTTCATTTTATATCGCTTTACTCTTGAACTGCGACAACATTGATATCAAAATAGAACTACATTTCTAGAAAAACACAACTTCTTCACTGGTCAGAAAACAGGAAAAAAACAACAACAAGGCTGACATATAGCCCCCCCCCCCCATGTCTTTTTAACTTCGTCCCTGTTGGTGTGCGCACCATGCAGGATTTGACTAGTCCATCTCTTCCTGGGAACACTTCAGTGATAAGTCCTGTTTTCCAAGTTAAACGTGGCATTTTGTCATCTCCAATGAGAACCAAATCTTCAGTTTTAAGCAATGTAGGATTTTCGGTCTGGCAGGTGTTAGTTAAACTGAGTTCCAGCAAATACTCTCTCCTCCACCTGCTCCAGAAATGATCCATCAGTCTGTGGCGGTATTTCCATCTTCTGGTCAGCTGCTCTTTGTTTGCATTTGTTATCTGACCTGCTGTGCAGAAAGGCTTCGGAGGTAAAGAACTGAGTCTCTTTCCAATCAAAAAATGTGCTGGAGTCAAAGGTTGGGGTGCCTTTAAATCATTATACACAAACGTAAGTGGTCTTGAGTTGATAGTGGCTTCTATTTCTGACAGTAAAGATGTTAACTCTTCAAAACTTAGAGATGCTCTGCCCATTACTCTTTTGAGTGCACTAATCGTTCCAAAAATCCACCCCACCAAGCTGCTCTCTCTGCAATGAATTTCCACCTAATTCCCTTTTCAGAGGCATATTCCAGCAGTTCTGGCTCTTTCATAGCTTTCCACAGTTCTTTTAGTTCCTGTTCTGCTTTTTTGAATGTTTGTGCGTTGTCAGAGTAGATTATTCTGCAGAGTCCTCTCCGTGAAACAAATCTTTTCCGTGCTAAGAGAAAACCTGTTGTTAGGCTTGATACTAGTTCAAGATGCACTGTGCGTGTAACGGCACAAATGTGAAAAGTGCCACATACGCCTTTTCAGTGTTACCTTTGGACTTCACATACAGTGGACCTGCAAAATCTACACCAGTTATTTCAAATGGTGCAGTTGCTTGTTTTACTGCTTTCACAATAAATCTTTTGCAGATGGTACAGTCTGAAATATTTTTTTTCACTAACTGTCTAGCACGTGGGATCCAGTATTTTTCTATTAAATGAACAAGTGTCTCTCACGCCTGAATGCATTTCATCCGGGTGACTGTACTTGATCAAAAGTTGGCAAAATCTGTGACTTGAGGGTAACATCCGTGGATGCTGCTCAGTGAAACTCAAATCTGACTGATGTAGCCTTCCTCCTACACAGATTAAACCATTCTCATCGAGGAAGGGTTTAAAGTCTCTAATTTTTTAATCTTTGTGCACAGCATTTCCAGCTTTTAGCTCGTTTATTTCTCTTTCAAAACTGTGTGTTTGTGCCTCACGTATCCATACTTTCTTTGCCTCTGACATCTCCTCTGCTGTTATTTCTCCCACCTTCTTTTGCTTTGAGCGTCAGTTGTGAACAAATCTGTTAACTCATGCTGTAACTCTTAATACCCTTTGCAGCATGCTGTATTTTTCCAACTGCAACAATGGCTCAGTCTGCAACCTATCACCGTTACTGAACTTTACGATGACTTGACTTGCTTTTAGTTCTGCTTTAACCTCTTCTTCTGAGGGCACATCTGGTGTTAGCTCTGCAGGTGTAGTTCCAAGTATTTAATCCTTCAAAAATAGGGGGCCCGACCACCAGATTACTTCCTCTTTTAACTTTGTTGCAGATTGACCTCTCGTGGTTAGATCAGCTGGGTTCTGTTTACCATCACTGTGTTTCCATACTTCTGTGTGGCTCGGTTTCTTGTCTTATGTCAAAGGAAGAGTTTGACCACTTTGTTTTTAGTTCTTGTGAGTTTGTTGTCCACTTACACAGGTTCATGTTGGCAGCAGCCAGTATTTTTTTTGCTCCTGTGGTAAGTGTGTATGCCTCGTTTGCATTACTGAAGCTAGCAATCACATCATCCACATAGAGCGAGTCTCTCATTAGTTTCACTGTTTCCGGTTGGATGTCTTGATATTTCTCCAAATGATGTCTGATTGTGGCAGCAAGTAAGAAAGGACTTGAAGTTACTCCCAACACAACACGTCTCATTCTCATTATGCATGTGCTTGTGCTCTCTGCATCTGGGGTCCTTTAATCCTTGCTCTCACAGTTTGCAGAAGTATAGTTTCACACTTTTCTGAAGTCGGTTTAGCTGTTTGTGGTACTACTGATGAGACTACAGTGTCACTTGTGTCCATGGCAGCATTTGTGGTCCCCTTTTGTTCTTCTCCTTTGTCACATACTACAGCATAATGTCTCCCTCCACAATCAGTGCATGTTACATGTTTTGATCTGCAGTCTCGGGCAAGATGTCTAGGTTTCAGGCATATGAACAACTCCCCATTTTCTTTAACCTTTCCTTACTCCCCTTGACTGTGTCTTCAGTGCACTGTTCTGATTTATGGCTTGTACTGTTGCAGAAAAGGGAATCGAGAGGTGTATTGGAACTGCCAGTGTAGAGTGCTGCAGCTGACGGCACATTAGCTCTTTTCCACTTTTCTCTGCTTAAATCTAGCTTGTAATGTTGTTTGTGAGCAACAGGTGCATATTTCATTTCTCTTGGTTTTGTTAAATGTCCTGCATGCTCCCTACTTTCAACTTCTTGTTGTAAAAAACTTACAAGATCTTTAAAACCCCACTTTTGTCCTTTATCTGTTTTTTGGGTGTACTCAAGAGCAAGATCATCAGGAATCATCTGCAGGAGAATTGGGCACAATAAAGCTCCATTATTGTCTAACACAGCACTTAAAGCTTCTATTCAATTCATTTCAATTTCAATTTAGTTTATTTATATAGCGCCAAATTCACAACACATGTCATCTCAAGGCACTTTACAGTTCAACCAGATCATACAGTTAAATTGATACAAAGTTTTCTATCTAAGGAAGACCAGTTGATTGCATTGACTCATTGACTCAAATACAATTCCTCACACTAAGCATGCTTCTAGGCTTCTTATCTGCACTTCCCCATCATCAAAAAGTTGTCTCAAAGAAATAACGTCAGAGGATCTTTTTACTGGGCTCAGATTCAACAACTTAGCCTTGTGTGCGCTCATAATTCACTCTTTTTTGCCAAATCTTTGTTTAAGCATGTCTACAGCGGCATCATAATTAGTGTCAGTTACCTTCAACCCAGCAATAGCACGTGTGGCTGGTCCGGTGAGATAGAACTTCAGATAAGTGAACTTCTCAGTTTTGCTTAAAACTGGATTTTCATGAATAGCATTCACAAACTGGTCCCAAAACTCTTGCCACATGCACACTTCTCCGTTGTATTTGCTTATTGAAAGTTTGGGCAGTTTTACAGAGGGTCTGCTTGCTGTTGACCGTGAATTTGCATCACTCAGCCGAGTGCTTGTTAATGTAGTGGTGTCCACTTAAAGTTGTTCTTGTGTAGCGGCCCTTGCAATCGCTCTTTCTGCTCGTGTCCTCCATAAAATTGTGCTGTCTTGATATTCCATTGTCCTTACAAGGTCTGCATCTAACTTCTCCAGAGGAATTTCCTTCTCTATTTCTGGCTCCAGCTCTTGGGGAGTTTTCTCCTTCTGTGATAACATGGCTAATAGCTCCAGCAACCAGTCAACATTCACATCAGTTTCACATTTCATCTTGAATTTGTTGCACCAGCTTCGTAACAGATGCCCGCAGAACAGTCCGTTTCAGTTTAAATCTCTGTAGTCACTCTGCCATGTTTTTTTTTCTTTCACATTGTTTGCAGCTATCGGCTCAATCCCAACAAAGTTCTTTTGTCACTCACGTATCCCGAGTTTCTGCACCAAAAAATGTTGTGGATTTAGCTGAAACATCGCATCTTGCTCGAAAAAAACAACTGGAGATTCAATATAATTTTATATTGCTTTACTTCTGAACTGCGGCAACATTCATATAAACATAGAGCTACATGCTCTGTTCGAAAACCTAGGACGCGTCCTTAGAAGGCCAGATTCGAAGGGCGATTACGTCATAGCGTGGCGTCGAAGTCTGGTCGGATTCCAAGAGTCCTCGTTTTGCGGCCTTAAAATGCATCCTTCATTTTGCCCGATTTGAAGGACGGGTCCGATGTATCCTCGGTATCCATGGTTTACCCAGGACTCATTGCGAGACCAAGCAAGCCGTGATTTGCTCCATGATCAGAGGAAAGGTTATTTGGCGCCGAACAGTGGTGAAAATTGGAAGTTCAGTTTAATATGATACAAGTCTGTGAATAGTTCCGTCTGAAATGAATGAAAATAGTTGTTTTAATGGTTATTGAGTTAGATATGTGGTGGTAATGTTTGATTTATCTATAGGTTTTATCTGTTACTGTGTAAATGGGTTTGGCTGTAATTTAAGGACAGAATCTAATATATCTGCAGAGTGGGAACTGTAAATCTGATAGTTA